CCCAACAACTGCTGCCACTGGTTTTAAAGTTGGAACTGCTTCATGTTTTAGTAACAGTTTCTTGTTGAATCCAGTGTTGAATTCGTGGAGATTCTGGAAGCTGTCTTCCGTAAATGCACAGCACAAAGAGCTAAATTATGATTGTCATTTTCAGGAACATAATCAAACATAAATTGTATCCATTGTTGACGAACTACAGCGTCTGTAGGAAGCCCGAACAAAGAAGACCTGACAGCTGGATGAAAATAACACACTTTTGACAAGTCGCAAAAATATAGCCATGCCCTTTTTTGCATATTCCAGAGGGAGGGTTGATGCAAATGTATGGGTTAGTGACGTATAAAAACCCGTTGTAGTCCCAATCGAGTCGTTTTTGTAGGCATTAAACTTCCTGATTTTTAAAAGACGATATCTCTGCTTACACTAAACTTTCAGCGCTGCAACTCATGCACCAACAGCAACATTACACACTATTTAAAATGAAAAAAGTGAAATCACAATCAACCACCCCTTTAAAATGATGAGCTCACCTGGGTGGGCATAATTCGTTTAGCCTCTTTGCTGGGGGCTTTTCTCTGCCTCTCCACTCTTGGCCGTGGTGGAGGAGGCTCTGCCAAAAATGAGCCCAATCTTGAATTGAAAAGAAAAAATAAAGGTTTGTAAACTTAAATGAAAAGGCATCAGTAGAGATTTTGTTTTCGTAAACTGTATAGCCAATTTAAAAAAGAAAAAAATCCAATGTTTAGTGTGAAGTAAAAAATACCGAATGTAGTTAAATATGACTTTATTACTCTTATGTCTCTCTTATGCTCACCAAGGTAGTACTAATTTGTACTTATTATATATTATTACAATTTAAAACACCATTTTGTATTTAAATATATTTTAAAATACAATTCATTCCTATAATGGAGTTAATGAATTAATGAGCATCCTTACTTTAGTCTTCAGTGTCACGATCCTTCAGAAATCACTCTAATATGCTGATTTGTTGCTCAATAATAATTTCTTATTATACATCAATGTTGAAAACAGTAATGCTGTTTAATATTTTTGTGGAATTCAGAATTTTGTTTTATTTTAGGATTCCTTGATGAATATGAAGTTCAAAATTACAGCATTTATTTATATTTATTTAGTCATTTAGCAGACGCTTTTATCCAAACTTACAACTGAGGACTAAACCAAGCGAGTCACGTGGGCCCTTTTGGCCAGACGAGCTAGAGCATTCAGACGAGCTAGAGCATTCTGGATCATTTATAGAGGTTTAATTGCACATGATGGAAGTCCAGCCAGAAGAGCATTGCAGTAATGAAGTCTAGAAATGACTAGGGCCTGAACGAGGAGTTGTGTTGCATGCTCATTTAGGAAAGGCCTGATCTTCCTGATGTTGTGCATAGTATTTATTTGAAATAGAATTATTTAGCATACAGCCATTTTAAATGTCTCCACAGTTACTGTTGATTCATTTAAAGCATCCAAGTTACTGATTTCCAAAGTAACTAATTTACTAACCCCAAATTTGTTAAATAGTCGAGTATGCTTGCTTACTTACTAAACCATTTTAATATATAAAATACCACATGGGGACATCTACGAACATTTCTGAGCGATGATGAGAAAACAATATGCAAGTAAACTTATTTAGATTGAGTTTCTGCTTCACAAAAATGTAACTTACCAATTATTACACCATCTACTGTAGTTTGGCAATAGAGACACTATAACATTTTTATCTTGACACGTTCATACTCACAAGTCATGGGGCAAGATGGGAATTGGGAAAATAGGTCAACTTAAGAGCTAAAACAAATGCTCTAAAAATGTTGAGCATTTTTTTTTTTTTTCACATTTAATGTGAATTTTCAATATATACCCTAGCCTAACATATACAGTTACCTGATCACCATCAATCTCATTTTACTTCCCTTACTACAGCTATACTTACATGTAGTGGAATGAAGGGGCTGTTTTGAAGCAGGACTCTGATCTATTTGCAAGCTTTTGCCAGGCTCCTTGAGGTAAATATCCCTCCAAGTGTCCATCCTGACCACTTTCATCCTCCAAACGATTCAGACCCATGAAGGACAACTAGAGAGATCAATATGAAAAATCAACCAAGGAGAAAAAATTCCTTTCAGGGTGAATTTGCCCAATGCAAAACATAAGATCTGGCTTTCCTCTCACAGTAACTTACCAAATGTTCTGCAAATGCAGACGGGTCAAATGCAGAGCCTTCAGCATGTAGCTGGCTGGCCTTCTCCTTCCCTAGATCAGTGGCTAGTACCAGGAGCTGAGCATCCAGCGCTGCTTCACGAGCCTGTCTCACTGAAAACACACACACACACACACACACACACACACACACACAATTGACAAACATTCAGGAGAACGTCATGAATACAAGTTGTGCATGCATCCAACAACTGCACTTAATTCCATTAGTAGATACCAGGATACTTTTTTTCAGGATACTAACTTGTTTTGTTTTATTTTAGCTATTGCCAAGGCAAAATTTCTCATTTTTATTTAATTTGCATTGTTGTACTATAATAACTTCAACTGAAATAAAAAAAAAACTAAAAAAAAACAATACAATGACTAATAATAACTAATACAAACACTTAAATTGAAAATACAAAAATAATATATATATATATATATATATATATATATATATATATTAAAACATTATAGTATCTCAATTATACAAAAAAAATGACACTGTATAGAAATAATACCATTGACAAAAAGTTTGTTGGCTGCTTCTAAAACATCAGTGAGTTTATTGTTAGACGGGTTCAACATGTCCTCACGATTTTCTGTGAACAAAAAAACAAAAACAAAAAAATCTCAACAAATGCACTTCATAAATGAAACATCAATCTGTATCATTGAAAGAAATTTTAACAGTATTAATACTCACGCTGGACTTGATTGATCAGATCCCTGTACTTGCTCCTGATCTCTCTCCTGCGTGTTGGATCATCATCTTCCTCACTAATACCTGATGGTTCACCAACATCATCTTCATCACCCATATCAACCACTCTCTCTGACCTGTTCCGCCCTCCCACTCCATTGGATGGTCCTGCTGGCTCCTCTTGAGCCCCTCTAGACCTTCTCCTCGAATCAGACATCTTCAATGTTTTTGCTTGATTTTCTGTGCAGAGAGACACATATGTCAGAATATAAATAGAACAGAAAATTAAAATTCCAACAGCTATAAAGTTGATAAAAGATTATATTACAATAAACATGAAATAGACTTAAAATTACAGTTTTGCACATTCAAAATGACAGTTGTACGCTGGGATGTTTTGGAAAATTAAGTAGGTTTTACTCAAGTATAAAAGCATAAGATAATATGTGATATGATGTGATGTAAATGCATAATTTGCAGCATAATCTAGTAAGGTAACGTTATAGCATACTAGTCTGCAGCTAATCACATGGCGAGTAAACAGTATTTTACGGATACACCAACATATGTTAGTGAGATTTTTAAAAAGAGTGTTTATAAAACAGAGCATTTGTGTATGGAATCCAAGAAAATATATACTTAATTTTTTACATAAATATTACAGTGATCATTTTTGCGATTCAATGCAGTTGGCCTAAAAATGCAACTATACATCGGGAAATGAAGCCAGAGAAGAAACGATAAACACTGATTTACATAAATTTGTAATTAGCACGTATTTTGAAAACTTACAAACTTTAAAACCTGCGGGATTCATATCTGCGTTAGCATCAACGGTGAAAACTTCGCGCGAAGAGAAGGAAGTGTTTACTGTCATACGTCATTTCCGACAAAGTCAATGCATAGAAACACAACAAGATGCCGCATCAGTGGCCAATGGCTGCCATATTGGAACGGTCAAAACACGGCGCCGCAAACACGAGAGCCAGTGTACACAGTGTATATGTCTATGCACGAGAGCAAAACAGCAAGTTCATCAGAATAATTCTGCTGAAATAAACTCAATACAACAAAACGAATGTGTCAGCTAACATGACATTGAAAAGTAACCAGCAGTATAAAAACCGGTCATATTGAGTTAATACATAAGAACACATTCTCACCTGTAAAAAGTTATCCCATTTCTTGTGGAATTGAAATCTCGTCAGTTTCACAACCAGAAGCTCCGCAATGTTGTGGCATCATCGATTCTTACCAAAGAGTATAGAACAACATAATATAAGTTATTTTTTTCTTACTGTGAGTGACACACTGACCGTTCCAAGATGGCGTACGCGCCAACGTATCTGGCATTTGGAGCGGTCAAATGTGGACTCTACATTTGAGCTAATGACTCTACTTGTGACCATCGTATTATTGTGTTTTATATTATTTAAGTTATTTGGTCTTCCTTTGGCTTTTTATTCTATGTGTAAAAATACTATTATTTAAGCATCGCTATCTCCGAACTGCAATTGTTGATTGATTTCTCCATAAGCGCCCCCTTTGTAGCCTAGTTGTTTTTATAAAACAACTTGTCAACTTACCTAATATGGAATGTAATCTATGTTGTTGATCAAAAAAGTCTCAAAGTATTGTTAACCAAAACATTAATTTACTCTTATCGAAAACCAAACAACCCACATGAATTTTATGTGGCGAATTAGCCTCATTATGAGCAATTTATTTGATTTCAGGATACACATTCTTACAGATTGAAAGACACAGTTGCGAGTTGTTGTTTTTGTGTGTGTGTGTGTGTGTGTGTGTGTGTGTTTTTTTTTTGCTGAATAAAAAATATGCTTGTGTAGATTGTGCTCATGTAGAGTGATGAATAAAACCCCTCCCTTCAACGGAGCAAAATTGAAAAATAAAAGCAACGCATAGCGCATAGGACGTGTTTAAAAATGTAGAAAGCTACCTAGCTTACTACCTAGACATGATTTCTGTCTAGCAAAGTCGCGATCGTTCTTGCTCTATCATGTTGCCTGGATAGTGGGCTCACTACGTTTTGAAACACAGCCATTATATTCCGGAAATTAACAAACTCGTGATGTCAGGAGGAGTGGGAGAGAAACAGACAGTACAAGAGAAATATACGTGTATGTCGCAGGATTTGTGGACTGTATAGATATGACAGAGTCATATGATGGAGTTAACGCGTGAAATAAGCGCTGGACATGATTCAAGGAGATTGTGGATGATCGCAGGTCCGAACTGAAAGTGCTTCCTATTACAGATCGACATTTCAGCAAACATGACGATGCTCGCACTGGAACAAGTGACTGATTTCGGAGATTTTACGAAAGGAAAGGATCTAAAGGAGTTTTTTAAACGAGAATACTCCAACATCTCTACTCAAAACTGTCTGTCCGAAGTGCGTCTGAGTCCAGATGGACGTCACATTCATGTCATTGTGCGTCAGCCCAAGAGTGGTCTTATGACATATGACAAATATCAGCGAGCCCATTTAATGCAATGCCAAAAGCACGTTGATTTAGTGCTAACTCGAAATGTTCCTATAGTGGATGTTATTTATATCCCTCTAAGCAAACCAGATGATACAGCCCCTGTGTTGGGAGTGATTTTTGAGAATGGAAAAGTAGAATTCTGGAAATTCCTTGAGAGCAGATCAGGCTGGCATCTACTCCAGACTGTGGATCTGTGTAACAGCCCTCGTGCAAAAGTAGTTTCTGTGTCTGTGTGTCAAAATTTCATCATATGGTGTGAGGAGCGACCACCATCTGAGAACTCCAGTAGTGTGTGCAGCAGCTTCCGGTTCTGTATCTGCAAAAAGACAGTTGAAGTTAATGAGGGAGGTGTCAGTTTGGGAAATGTGAAAATTGCATTGCATAATAATCCTCGATATACGACCATCAGTTCTGGCGATTTGGTCTATCTGCTCCCAGACATGCGGGAAAACTCTTCATTGGATGTTTCGAAAGTGTTTCTTGTATGGTCACCTGAACATGACACCTTTAAAGTGCACAGTGCCTGTAGTTGCACACTTATGAAAAGCTCAAGCAAAGAATCAGACTTCAAAAGGCTTGTTACAGACTTCATTGGCCTCCTACCCACACTAAATCCCCCTAAAATCTGTGGATTCTCTCCCACTGGATGTGGAGACCTCCTCCTCCTCCTCAGCACTGGTTGGGTATGCATTATGAAGAGGGATGGCTGTCTTCGCAACATATACAAACTTCCTGATAATTGCCTAAGTGCTAGTGGGACCCAAAACAGTCTGAATATGTATAGTGAAGTCCTGGCACTAACAATAGGCAGGACCCTCTTCTTAATTGACACCAAATGTGGCCTGGAATTAGAAAGAATAAGTCTGAAAACCGAAGGTCTTCTCTTTGTAAACTCTTTGGACAGTCACTCTCCGCAAATGCTGTCAGAGACCGGGTTGTTTGTGGTCACGCAAACACAGAAGCCTTCTCCGACATATTCAGAAGACTCAAGTGCACTCTTGGTTGAGGCTGTTTTCGAGGAGGCGTGTAAATACTATCAGCAAAGAAGTCTAAGTAGCACACAGCTCACGGTGGAGAAGCTCAAAAAAGGTGGGATGTTTCAAGCTCCCATATCGCTGGCTGCCATCCTCCGAGATTACCTCAGCAACCAGAAGACCAAAACTGGTGAGAAACATTCCTCGGGTCAAGAAAGGCTCATGAGCTCGCTCGAATCAGAACTTAGGAGTCTCGTTTTGCTAGAGAACATCAAAACGTCAATGGTGAAGGCTTCTGAGAAAGATCTAGCGAACTATTGTGAAACCTTGGTGCAGCAGGAGATCTGCCGGCTGCTTGGCGGTGAACTTGAGAAGGAAAATCTTCGATACCTGAACAGCATCTTCCAACTCTTTCCCACTCATTCCTGGCACGCCGTGCAAGCGGTTCTGCATCTGAGGTGCAACGGTGAGGGATCATTGTCTTCTAAAGCTCCTGCTGAATTGTGGAAAATCATCCTCAGCCCTGTGCAACCCACAGCGAACTTTGCTCACTGCAACGGTCAGCAGAAACACACTACAGTGAACCTGCCTGTTTTTGAGCTCTTGTGCCACTCCATCTTCAAATTCCAGCCCAGCTGGCTCCCCAGGTTTCTGGAATTGGCACAACAGCAGATGGGCACAACCTCCACATCTTCCTGGAGTTACGGTGTGAAGGAGAGCTCTGAGAGTTTGCCGCTCTATAAACGGGCCCTGACTGTGCTCCCTTGCAAAGGGTCCAACCAACACCTGGAAGTGGAGCTGCTTTTGTGCAGCGAGAGGCCTAAAGCGATAATGCAAGCATTGCGGATTCTCATCGAACAAAGCCAGTGGGAACGGGTGACACAAGTTGCTGAGAGGTTCTGCCAGAAGAGCCCGCTTCTGAACAAAGAGATTTTCAGCGCTCTGCTGTGCGAAGTGTCACAGCATAGAGACCTGGACCCTTATTTGGACCTGCTCTGGACTCTTTGTCCAGAGGACATGACTGTGACGAGCATACTCAATATTGTACTGAAAAACCTGCCGGATTCGACGCAGAACTCGGGACCGTTCGAAGCTCACGGCAGCCAGGTCACCATTGGGCTTTTGAAACCGCTTCTCAGAAAAGTTCTCCAAAGGGAGACCAAACCCAGCCACAGGTACGCAGATATTCTTCAGTCACCCACAGTTCCTCCTCTCACGCCTCCACGCCAGCCAAAGGGACTCTCCAGAGATGCCGAACACAAGGAAGCCAAGCAGAGGACTTCCTCTTGATCTCAAGTGACATTTAGAGGCAGCCTGGTCTGACTAATCATCTAAAACCTTTCCATAGACTGTTATTAAATATCATCCCAAAATGAAATCGCCTTCATGTTGTTTCTAAACATGTATGACTTTCTTTCTTCTGTAAATAACAAAAGAAGGTGTTTTGAAGAACTTTTTGTCCATACAATGAAAGTCAATGGGGTCCAAAAGAAACTTTGGACCATATTCACTTTCTCTGTATTGACAAAAAAAAAAAAAAAAACACTTGTTTTGTGTTTTACAGAAGATATAAAGTTCAACAGGTTTGGATAGACATGATAGTGAGTAAATGATGACAAAATGGTCATATTTGGCTGAACTGTACCTTTAAGAATTAAGTACCTTGCATGGTCTAAACAGAATTATGGCGCTTCTTCATATCAGATCATATTTCATTAATCATAACAATTGTGTAGTATTTACTGCAATTCATAGATGTTTAACTATTGCTTTAATTATTCCTGATATTGAATGTAATATGCTGTTTTTATGTATGCTGAATTTCATCTTACATTTCTTTTGTGTTTTTTAAACAGTATTTTTCTTTTTCATAACCTTCAGATGTGACGTTTTTATGAGTCATCACATGAAGGCATGCTGTTACCCTGATCCTTTTGGAGATGACTAAGCATTATTCACATTTCATGCTCCAGATAATTTATTTTATAAACCCCTAGCATAACAATATATTTTTGTTTCTACTGACACTACAGTTTGTCATCATATGCTAGTGTGATTATTATTTTATGAAAATCGCATGTGGAAGACCTAAGCTAAGAATTGTTTTAGTCATTAATAAAAGTGTACAGTAATATAAAATGTAATGTGCATGATCCAGATTTTTCAGGATTGCTCTTGTATTTATTGCTACCACAGGGATTTTATCATTGTAGGATGCAATTAAATATGACACATGTATTGCTGCCACTCATTTTCTGTTTTTTTTTTTTCGGAACTAAGTTTTCACGTACTTCTGCTGCCTTTAAAAAGTTATGGTTGTGTTGTCGAAGAGGGGAATTCTGATGTGTTTCCAATGAAAAGCTTTATAAACGTACTATGTCTGTACAGCTCCACCCTCTGCATTCCTTCTTGGCTCAGTAGCAGCATTCACAGCACTGCTTTAAATTCAATTGAACTAAATTCTATTACAGTGACCAGCTTCAAGCTCGGTCACATTGGACAGGCTTGTGCTGCCTTGAATTGATGTGGCATAGCTAAAGTATTTGGAAAGCTGAAACACTTCTTATTCACTAAGTGTTTACTAACAAATTTGACTGAGTTTTCTGAGACAGCGTTCAAAAGTCAAATAAAGTAAATAAACCAATATGTTTTAAATACATGTTGTTCTTTTGAACTTTCTCTTTATGAAAGTATCCTGAAAAAAATCAGCATATTTTCCACAAAAATAACAAGGGGCATAACTGTTTTCACCATATTATAACGATTTCTCACTGTAAAAATGAATGCACTTTATCTAATCAAAAAAAAAAAAAATTGTGGCAACAGATTACAAGCAATATTATTAAATATATAAAATATGATTAAATATGATCAGCAATATTATTAAATTTAACAATAGAATTGAGTAATAATTAAATAATTAAAAGTTAACCATTTAAAATGAGTAAATCGTTTTTTAGAAATTACGTTTAAGTCACCATTATGGTGCTCGGTGTTTAATTTAGGTTTGTTTTAAAATGACGGTTTTCTCCTTCAGTGATTCTGCTTGTTAACATCAGGTGTCTTCAATGTTGGCAATATAACATAAAGATAATATAAAATAATTCATCTTTGACATCTGTTTGTTGAGATATTTTTGTTAAATTTTCTAAACTTTACACATTTTAAATGGTTAACTTTTCAGGAATATTTTGATTAAGTATTACTCAATTCTAATTTGTTCTTTTTTAATTAATAATATTGCTTGTAATCTGTTGCCACAATTTTATTGATTAGATAAAGCATATTCATTTTTACAGTGGATTAATGACTGCTTAAATACTCAGCTTTTGCCATTACAAGAATAAATTACATTTGAAAAAATTGTCATATATTTTTGGTCAAATACATTGTCTTGGTGAGCATACTAGACTTCCTCAAAAACATTAAGAACTGACCCTAAACTTTGAACGGTTGTCTATTTTTTGTGTGTAATGTAAATAGGTTCATCTGAACGTCTTCTGCAGATTAATTCAAAATGATTTTTCTGTACATAAACCATTTTTCTGTTCTGTAACCTTTAACATGTCTCAAGAATCACTGCAATCATGTTTCTCACGCCTTACATAGACATAGCATGAGAGTGCATGTGGATTAGATTTAAAATATTTCAAGACCAGTTTCATGGCCTCTCCTCATGCATGTCTATTAAGTATCTCTGGCCCTTGCAAATCCAAATGCTAATTACTATCCATAATCTTGAGCAATGGTATGCTTTTAAATGACACCCTTTTATGTGACATAGGTGTTTTTGAAAGGTAGTATACCATCACTTTACTGAATATTTAATCCCATGGATGCTGGTTTCCCTCCCCCTAAGCTGCACAAACATGTGTGGAATGCATGTTTCACTGCTCTACTTCCCTTCCGATTGGCACACTTTTGTAATGGCAGCTGCACAGTACCGTAAGGCCTCGGTCACAGGATGTAGCGTGGACTGGAGAAAGGGTTTCTAGATGGGTTGGCAAGACAGAGAGTGGCAAGTGATGCTTTAGTTTACACCAAACAAACAGGTTCAGCATGGTAGTGTGAGCATATTTTATTACTATTGTGATTAACACATGACATGAAAGAAATGTTAAACAGGCCACCTCTTCAAAATGAAAACAGTCAATGTCTGATAGAAATGTTTTTGGTTTAAAATAAACTGCTGTACAATATCAGCAGTATATGTGCAGTCAATGTCTGATAGAAATGTTTTTGGTTTTAAATAAACTGCTGTACAATATCAGCATGTGTAACAGATTATTTGTTACTGAAAAAATGGCATAAATAAATCTCAATGCCAACAGGACCACATAAAGTGCTTTCTAAAACATAACCTCCCATTAATCCCTTATAATAAAAAAAACATTACAGTTGTAAGTAAAGTTTTTCTTTTCATTTAAATATTGAAGGAATACTCCACCGACTTTTTTTTCTGAGAGGTATGTATCAACTTGTCTTAGGTAAGGGAATGAAATTGTTTAAAATGAAAAATATGGTGGAGTATCCCATTAAGTGCTGAAATCATCAAGTGCAAGTAATTATATTAATATATTATATTCTACAGCACATAAAAGTACTACATTTTCTACATTATTACAGAGCCCCTAAAGGAACGTAGGGATGAAATGTTTTTTATGCTTTAGTGTTCCCCCGAGAAACTTGGCGTTCGCTCGCAAAACTTTTCCGTTCTTTGCGAGTGAATGCATAGCTTCTCAAGTAAAGCAAACGTTTTGTGAGGTAACGCACATTTCTCGGCATCATTTTTTTCTTCCATCTCATTTCACCATGTCCCTTTAAGGGCTGCATCATTTGTCCACCATTGTGAATTCATTGATATGTGGTTCGGCGTGTGTAAATCAAACGTATACTGTCGTTTTTATTTACGCATGTATGTATAAGGTGGTTGTTTCTCATTTTCCAATAATTCAGGTCTTAGGTGAGCCTTTGGGAAAGAATGCATCCTGATGTTATTATTGGAATTCCTTTAAAAAGAGAAATAAGGAGACACTTAATCAATCCATACGTAAAATATTATCCTTACATTTAGGAAAGAAATAAGATATCTTACTCATAAACATCTGAATACTTCATCCTGCGGTAGTACTTGGCCAGTTTAACTGAGAAAATTATGCTGGGGATCAGGAATATCATACACCAGCCCAAACTGAACCAAAAGGCATTCTGGGAACAGACAGGACATTGTTTGTTAAGGTTTTTTTTTTTTTAGATGGCAACTGCATGGGCACTTCCAAATTCATCAGCACTATAAAAAAGAAAAAGACGCAGATAGAGCTCTTACCAAAGATCCCACCAGATGTTTACAGAGAAGATCTTCTGATCTTTCGAATGCTGCCGCTACAGGCCCACAACGACCCATCCTCTCTGTGATCTGACACAGAATACAACACAATAATGTTATTAATCATTCAAATAGTTGGCAACTTGAATATTTATAAAGACAAATATATACCGTTTGATTTGCCCAGCTGACAAATGCCTGAAAGATTTTCAGCTGACAGTCTATGAATGACATGCTCTCCTGCAGAAAAAAAGTGACAATTATCATTTTAAGACATCCCGTAGATTGCTTCATCATTTTACATACTGTAAACATCCTGACGGATGATAAAGCTAAATATAGAATTGATTTTGCACTCACTTTTTTCACTATTAGTGATATGTTGTAGTTCAGGACGTCCTGAGCATTGCCAACATTTTTAAGAACATTCTCCACAGTTGCCTACAAAATGATTGAAGAGAAAGAATTAGAGGATACTGTAAGTGCATTTTTAAATCATGGATATAACGATAATATATAAAAATAGTATATATATATACATGGTTAAAGTCAGAACAAAGAGTTTTGTTTAGTACTTATTATACACATACAACATTTATTTGAACAAAAATATAGTAAAAATGTAATGGTTTTCCATGTCAATATTTTAAATTCTAATTTATACCTCTGATGACATTTCTCATTATTATTAATGATGAAAAAAGTTATTATTTTTTGCGGAAACCATGCACGATACAGTTTATCTTATTATTTTGTTATTGAAAGGAGTAAAGCAATACACAGTGAAACCATGAAACAGTTTATTTTATTATTTTGTTATTGAAAGGAGTAAAGCAAAACACAGTAAAACCATGAAAGTAACATTTTCCTTCCTTCTAATTTTAACTATAATAACCCCCCTCATCCCCAAAACATCCCCATGCATACCAACCAAAACAAAAGTAATGATGATAAAAGTATGTGATACAGTTTTTTTCAATATTCTTTGATAGATGTAAAATTACAGCATTTATTTGAAAGTCATTTTATTAACTGTCCCTTTTGATCAATTTCTTGCATTCTTGCTGAATAAAAGTATTAATTTAATTAAAAAAAATGACTTTCAAACTCTTCTGTATATGCTAGTGAACTGTGATAAAATTACCAAAGCATCATATTTCATGGAGTCTTTAATGAAATTGTTATAAATACTAATATACAGTATTCTAGGCAGTGTGTCAGACAGAAATGATGACTTACATTGATCTGTAATGCTACTGCGCTGAGATTCTTAATGGTATCATTCAGCTCCAGCTGCAAAGAGGAAAGGGTGAGGGTCACAGTAAACCAAACTGAATTGATATTAATGATTTGATAAATTTGAACAAGTGTTAACACACCAGCAAAGGCATAATGTTGTATGTGATGTCAGTTTGGATGTCTCGCAGATCTTTAGCTTCCCCACGCAGTTGCTCACTGGTATTGTTGTTTATCTGAAAGACACAAATAAGTCTATGTGATTCACATCAGTCTTACACCAGAGCAGGAGGATGTTAACAAGAAAGTAAAATTCACCTGTTTAGCAGCCAACTCATCCAGACTTTGTGCAGCTGAGCTCAGATTTGTCCCTGACACATCATTTATCTGAAATATGAATAATAAAATAATTACGAGCCTCAATATACAAGTACATTTCAAGATAAAATGGCCAAAAATATATAACTAACATACATTATTTTCGATAAATCTTACATTTTCTCATATATTTTTAACCATGTATATATACATATGTGTGTGTGTACTTCAAATGTACTTCAGGTTGCAAGAAGTTTTAATTTAATCTTAAAATATTTTTGGGGAAAGCAAAATAATATATAGATCATGCTTAATAAAAATAAAGGCCTTTATGTACCCTTTATTAAATTATTCTTTATTTAATTAC